AAGTTAAGATCATGCTGGCAGCTTCATCAGATGCTGGTGCACCTCTCCTACTATTTGGTGATAGAAACTAGAGAGAGTGAGTGATATGAGAGGAAGACGATGAAGAAGCTGATTTAAATAGACTTGAATAATTGTACGATATTTGAAAAAAAAATAAAGTATATATGAAGGGTATCCATATAGGTCACCCAAAGGCTAACTGAGCTACAGCTACATTTTGAGTAGGATTATATATGGGGGAAAAAACTAGTAATGCCAACTTTCAAACACACACACATATATAGTAGTATATCTTTAGAAAGCCATATAATTTATAATAATATATATGTGAATATAATTAAGACTTCATTTTAAACTAGTAATGCCAACTTAAGATTTATTAATAAAATAAATTAATAGTGTTTTAATAGAGAAAATAGTGCTTTAATGTGGTGAAAGTATCATACTAAATTTGATATGAAATTATAGTGTTTCAATAAAATGATGTAAAATTTAGGGTTTGAATGAAGAATTTTTTTATGTAAAAATCATACTAAAGTAGTATTTAAGAGTTGGGTTTGGTGGAAACACCATACCCTATTAGTTAAGGTTTAAAAATTTATAGATCCAAGTGAGGATTCGAAGCGCAAACTATATAATTTCTTGTAGATTACACATTATAGGAGATCCATGTTTCAATTCTCAGAGAAAGTGATCCTCAAGGCATATACTTTTGTTGGTTGTCAAATTGTCTATATAATTTTTTTTATAACTGTAATATCATAGTGAATCAATGTTAAAAAAAAGTTGGGTTTGAAATGACCTTATATGGACAAATGAGTGAAAGACAATTGTATCTTCAAATATGAACTATTGCTTTAATATATTTAAGTAGTGTCTATGTAATTATTCAATCAACTAACTGATGCTTTTGTCTTCCAGCACATAGTTTAGAATCATAGCTTTTTAGGAATGATGATTAATGCACCAACCCTAAATTATAATTTAAGAGCGATGGTAACTGATCTCTTTAATTAAGTGATCAAGGAAAAAGATAATAAAAAGATCAGAACATCCTAACCGACCATATTATCTCATTTAGAAGTTGTCTTAGTTCATAGTATTTAGTTTGTTGTTACCTAATTATTGGTGCTTTGAACCATAAAAGAGCCATCCCAAGAACATTCAAATAAAATACTTTTGTTTGTTTTTACATAAAGCAACAAAAACAGAAAATAAAAACAAAAGACTAAAACCACAACCAGTCAATCCAGACCGGAATGGTCTGAACTCAAACTGATTATCCGAAGAGAAAATAGAGGCCCAACAGCGACAAGTTCGCCAAAGTCACCATCAAAGAGAAAGACCACATCATCCTATTCCAATAAAAACTGATCTAAAGTTTTTCAACATGCACACATCTGTTTTTATGAGCATAACATAAGGGATGAACAAAACATTAGAAAGATTCGCCGTTTTCGTCTAATCCAAAATTCTGTAGTTCTTTGTGTATCAAGTTTCTTTTGTTTTGTTTTCCACTTGAACATTTTGTTAGACGTTGGCACAATCGATTGTATATTTATTAGTTTTGAATATATATAAAATAATATCTCTCGACCAAAATTAGATTAAAAATCATTATTAGAACTGTATTAGAATATCATTATAGCCAATATTTCAAAGAATCTCTTAGTATATAAATAAAAATATACACAGAAAAAAAGAGAAAAGGAGTAGAAAAAGAGAAAAAAAATGATTATTTTTTGAAAACTTTCTAAAAGTATTAGAGATTCGTTTAACACCTATATTTTTATAACTGGTCAATTTTTTCTTTAAATTTAAATTACAAGATTTCCTTATATCAAGTTTTTATTTATAAAATTTTCTAATTAAAAATATCTCTCGACCAATATCCACCGATACACTCTTCGTATTTGAAGGAGATCATATTACTATTACTTACTAATTTTTACTTTGTTAAAAGCTAATGAAATTTTTATTTCTGTGCGTTTTTAATTAGATGGTGATTCAGACTAATTTTTTTAATTGATGTCAAGTAATTTAAATATTAATTTAATATTCTATTATTAATTATGAGGGTTGTTAAATTGATGACGTACGGTTAGTTTTACTGCAATATACTATAAAAACTCACGTAAATAACGCCATTCGTACTATGCTGTAAATCCTAATACGTTTATCACCATGAACTTTCATAAATGATAAAAATTACATTTTCGAAATTTGAACTCTAGACATTTTGGTGTAAGAACCTTAATAGACATCAACTACTCGAGTAACTAATGAGTTATATTGCTATCGATAAATTTATTTATCATTTAAATAAATTTTAATATTATTTTGATTGATTTTTCTTTTGTCAACTATTTTGATTGATAGATGAAAATGTTCGATAATTATGCTTATAATATCCCAGTCGGAATAATTTTTACCAAAAGGATCATCCGGTGGCGTACCAGACTTCTACGTTTTTGCTTCGTATTGGTTTATGAAACTAATTTGCGGGCCTTCTCTTACCGACAAACACCAGCATTATTCTTTTGTAATATCCATGACATAACGCTACAAATGCTATACATGCATTTTATATATACTTTGTCTTTTTCAATGAGACACGCACACATACATATGTATTCAGGGGTGATTCATGTAAGTATATATAATAGATCTCCAATTTTGATTGGTGACGGAAATATCGTACAGAGATAGAACATTATTTTTAGCGTTCAAAACCAGTATAATAACATTAGGTGATAAGATTAAAGTGGAGATAAGCTTAATAAAGTTGTGCTATGAGCATATGACCTCATACCACTAGCTAGTCTTATTTTAAATTTTGAGTTTAAAGCATTTACAGGTATTACTTGGCTGTGCCAATTCGAGAGATTTATAGATAGTGGGAACCTGATTATGCTGCTCTCTGAAATAGGCTTTCAACGGCTAGATAAAGCTTTCACATCTTTGCTTAATTGTAAACTTTCAAACCCAGGTTGAGCAAGGGCAATTTGTAGCTCTGAAATTTTGCCACTGGACTTAAGAGAAGTTTCGTGGCTGATATTTTATTTAGAACTATGTGTTTTCCTGCACTATATGCTGTGATAAACTTTTTAAAAGTTAAATTATATTTAAAATAAAATTTATTAATATTATATATTTTATTATTTTGATTAATATTTAATACAAATTTTTTTAATTAAACACAAAATACTTAAAAAATTGTTTATGTTAAATTATATTTAATAATATATTGAAATATATTTAAAATTCGAATCTTAGAATTTTTTTTATCTATTTATTTTGGTTAAACGTATTAAATAAAAATGTACAAAATTACTAAGAAAATTCATATAAAATTGTATAGCTATTAAAAATTATAACTAAACAATATTTATAAAATTTGTCGATATGTAAAAGAAATTAATGATATTACGATTTAAAATTTATTAATTTTTAAAAAGTGTAGAAAATTTAGAAATATTAGTAATAAAAATGTATAATTATAAAAGTATAATTAAATAAAATTTATAATGCATATCTCAATATATTTATTTTTAGTGATGATTTGATTTATGAGTTACCATATTTTAAGGAGTTTACCAAAAATATATATCAACATTAAATGTAATGTATCAATCCCCTATATATTAATCCTGAAACATTACAACATATTTTTAATATATTTTAGATATTTTAATTAAATTAAATTAGATTTATAAATGATTTAAATATTTTGATTTTTTTTTTCAACTTTTGAGGTTTATAAAATATATTTGCGGATGATTTCAGATATTGGTTACAAGTCAAACCAAACTGAATTGGGAAGAAACCAAACCGAATCCAAACCGATAATTAGTAAAACCCGAATAGGCCTTATGAGCATAATACAAAAAACTGCAAAATACATCTCAATCAAATCAAAACCGACGAGACCTCAACGTCCAAGCCTATGATAATTTAAAATACCAACATTTGTATTCGCTATTTTATAATCAATAAATATTGTATGCTACAAAATGTTAAAACCATTTAATGAATAAACATTAGTATAAAAAGCTCATCCCGCGCGGTTATCATCTGGTTATTATCATATTCTATAAAGTTTAACAAAAATATATATCAGCAATAAATATAATTGTCCATATCATATTTAACTATAAGTCATGTCAATCATATCATCATTATTTTGTAAAAATAATTATAGAGATGATATGTGATAAAATAATTTTGTAAATAATATATAGGAGATAAAATGACCGGAAATCACTGTTTCTTTGGCGTGGTCCAAAAGCCTACTCTGGTACATAACCAAACCGTAAATATTTCAGCAACCAAAATAGTACCAGACCATTTTTGACAGTTAATCGCTTTTAGTCTGACAATTTAGTTTTAGACCAATTTCTAAGACTACAATCATTTTCACTATTGGCTTTGTGGGCTTTACTCACATTTAGTTTCCTGATGTTTTATGGACGTATTTTCTTCTTCTCAGTTTCAAACTTGTTATTTAAGTAGCCATGACTTCTTTTCTTTCACATTTAGCTAATAGTACATAATTGAACTGCAAAAATGGTTATGGCAAAAAAATTGTAAAGGGTTATCCATGCTCAAAAGTAAAAAAGCACAATTCCAACCATGAGAACTTGTACAAGGTGGAGAACTCCGAACTAAACGAAAAGGATACAAAAACAGAAAAAGGCTGAATGAGATTGTTGGAACAGTTGTAAGTTTTAACTAATAAAATAAAACATTGCAAAGATGGGTGATTGCAAGTTTTGGTAATGGATCAGTCTTTGATAATGAACCATTGCAACTGTTAGTCATTTTAGTCTTCGGTAATGAACAATAGCAATTTTCAGTGTTAATCATTACAATATTTGGTTAATCATTGCAACTTAGTTCTCTATATAAAGATTTGTGGGCATAGATAAAAACTAGAAGGATCACAACAATCACATTAGAATAGATATAGTTTACGTTTCACTAAACATCAAAGATCTTTGAAAAATATATGTAAATATTAAATAGTGTTATTCAAAAAAAAAATGTAAATATTTTTTTTATTATTATTGTGTCTTAACCTACAAAAATGAGATTTTTATTTTCTTAGCATACAAAGGGCAATGCTTCGAATAAACTTTTGTTTTATGATAAAACAAATGATTAAACAAAAGATTAAAAATCTGTTTTTTTATTTGAATCAGAGAAACGAAAAAAAAAAAGAGAAAACAACATTGGCAAAGTAATTAGGAAATTCTCAGAGACATTAAACGAAACAAAAGTCTCGACTCTGATTGAGCTCAGTAAACACTTCCGGTTTAGATATTACCGGCCCAGTTTTGAGAGCTCTCAACTCTAGGCATCTTGGTACCCTCTCTCTTAGCCTCAGCATCAACCTGAAAGGTGGCACCACACACCTCTCCTGAGCTATCCACCCTTGGCACTGGCTTCAACTGGTTCTTAGGGTGCTCGAAGCTCCTCAATCCTCCCGATGATGTAAAGAAACAACCTTCAAAATCCCCCAAACCATGCAACAATTTAGAACCTTGAGCTCACAGTTTCTTTCCTGTTTGAAGTAAAGTTCGTTGGTTTACCTTTAGGGAAAGGACTGTGAGATTTGGAGCAACCTTTCTTCACAATAGCTGTATCATCAGAGAGAACAAGGTGACCTTCAGCATCAGTTCCCCAGAAGAAGGGCACAGCACCCTCAGCATCCTGCACATGGACAAACAAAACAATCAAAATCCATAACTTAAAACATCCAGATGGGGACAAGAAGAGGTAGAGAGTTGTTACAGCAGCAGCAAAGACGGTTTTGTTGGTGCCATCAAAGAGGATAAAGGCAAAGTTTCCTTGGAAATCTCTGACGACTTTGTCAACAGGGTAAGGGCCACGGTCACGTAAAGTCCTGTAAGCCTCAATGACCATAATGGCCTCGTTTGTGACTTTGCTCAGCCCATACTGCTGCCTCAGGAAGGGAAGGTTCTCGATGTGTCCTCGGAAGATGCAGAAGATGTCATCCACAACCGCAAACAATCTGTCAAATCAAACAAAAAAACCCTACAATATTCATATCACCAAAAATACAAAAAAAAAAAAGCAAAGAGCCGCAATAACTTAAAAACCTAGTCCTTAGATCATCAACAAGCTTACCAACACAACAAGCAAATCCAAATATGCAACATTAGAAACCTAATTCTTAGATCTCTTGGAGAAAGAGAGTTTATAGATAAATAGATCATCAACAATTATAAACAGATCCAAATATGCAATAAACTTAAACCTAGTGTTTAGATCTCTTCAAGAAAGAGAGTTTAAAGAAACTCTTAGTTCTATACTCTTATCGATATCTCAAGAACATTTCGTCATCATCACCAAGCAAAATGCATATATAAATCTCTACTCATGGATCCCACCAATAGATCAAGATATATTCATCATCATCATCATCATCATCATCATCATCATCATCATCATCATCATCATCATCATCTAGCACTATCACAAGCAGCAAAACCTAATCACTCTAAATCCTAGATCCGATGCGTTAAAAAAAAAGTCAATCCAAGTAAAAACTTAAGCACCATCGCAAATCTAACCGATCCGATCACATAAAAACAACAAAATCCAAAGCCAAATCATCAAATCGAAGGAAGAAACTAACGATTCCTCTCAAAATCACGTAAACGTAATGAGACTTTAGAGATTTGGACCTATGAACAAGGGGATCAGAGTTATCAAGGGAGTAAGCGAGCACTCCGGAAGATCCGAGGTTAAGCGAGACGGAGTTCGAGTTCTTCGAAACGAATTGGCTCGCTAGGTATCCTTCTTTCAACGCGTACGATGGCGAATCCGAGTTAGGAGTCTGCAGCGCTTCGGGGCTGTTCGCCACCGTCTTCTCGAACACAGCCAACATTTTTTCTTTTTTTCTTGGAGAGAAGATTTCTGATTTTGAATTTTATTAGAGAGAAAGAGAAATCAATGGGGAAATGTTACAGATGAATGATGAAAGAGAGAAAGACCGGGAAGGCTATAAAAGGATTCTTCCTGGTAGAGGCATATTTACGATTATGCCCTTGTGTTATAGGCACGTGTCGGGGTGTGAGAGGTTGCAGTTTTGGATATTTCGCCCTTTCAGCGTAATTAGTAGATAATGATTTTGGATTTGATTTTTTTTTTAATAAGGAAAGCTAAATTTATCTGATTTAGTAAAAATAGTAGTGATTGTTTGATAGATAACGTAGTTTTGGAATGTAGTAACTTTTTTTGGATTAAATTTATTTAATTAGACGTTATAAACAGGTGACGTGTTATATATATTGACTTAATTACATTTAGATACATATGAATGGTAGATGTTTGTATTAAATAGCCCAACGATCAGATTATTCAGACTATTATTTCTTACCATTTTCTGAAACTGATTATAAGTTGATTGAGATAATTATTTCTGAGTAATTAGAGCAACTTTCCTTAAATGGCGGAATTATTTAATCGGATATCGCTTATATCAATATATACTTTTATTTTGTGGAGAATCTCATAGTACGAATATGAAAGGTGGATAAGATTTAAAAAATTAAAGTCAGGAAAATGACGTGGCGAGTACGTGCACTCGATATTCTTATTAAAATATACTCGATATTCTTAATTAAAATATAAAAAATCGAGAAAACCCACATGGGTGGACACAGTCCTTAAGAAAAGTCAAACCAACGGTGGAGTTGTCACTAGGCTAGTTGTCACGCGTTCGATCGAAACGTATAACATCATTAATTTTAAATATAGTGCGTATTTTAAGAGAACGTATTTTGTTTCAAGTCATAAGATAAACTGTAAATAGGTTCAGATTACAAAAGGAAATGTTAACATATTTCAAGGGATTTGAAAAATACAAATTTACTATTTATGGTTAGAGCTTGGAAGACATAAAACGGTTGATAGCCTCTTTGATCAATCAGAATAGTGTAGTTAAATGGGTTAATTTGTTTATTAACTGGGCTTTTACTTGAGTCCAAATCGTTTATTAATTGAACTAACACTATGATCATCATAAAAATGATCTCCTAAAACTTGAGCACCTATCCGTTAGTAGTTATATTAGTGTTTGCTGTTACAGCCAGAATTTAAACATCAACAAGATTATTGGAATCGCAAGATCAACCCTACTTTCAACAAGATTTTTGTTAAATATACTCTCAAACATTGCTAGTAGATGCTTCATGGTGGAAGATCCTACTAACGGATTTACCATCGCCTCACAGAACCACATCACTTTTACTTGATTGACGTGATGCTTTTCGATTGGTGCTTCACTTTAGAAGTATAACTAAAACCCCCAAAACAGTTATACTATTTGTACCATCGATAGAGTTCAACTCGAAATGTCTGGTAATAGTGCAATTTTCATGTAGTTGTACAATTATTGGATAGTTATAACAAGTTGTACATTGTCGAATTCACGTAGTTGTAGTACTTGAGAGTTGAGATTGTTACTCCAAGTTATACATTGCCCAATACAATTTGGTATAACTACATGACAATGGTATATCTATGTGCTAGACTATCTTTCAAGTTACTAGATAATTGAGTCGAATTCACTGAATACTTGTCAAAAGTTTCCACTCTTAAATAGAATTTTTGTATAATATTTTTTTTTTTGAAATATGCTAACAATGTATTTCAAATGCAAATTTAAATAAGTAAATATTAACTTTCATTATTTAGGTGACAAATATTATTTTTATTTGAACAAAAGCACAAATATACTACAAAGCACAGCTGAGTAAACAATACACAGAAATGCACCACAGTGCCATCTTCTTAATAAGCTTCAACGCTTTCTCCAAACTTGTGGGTTAAGCTCTTTACATACTCCTTCCTAACCGGATGTTCTTCCTGCGGTCGGTTATACGGTGTCCAAACCGGTTCTCCCACAAACAGCCTCATTAGCTGCAAAACCAAAAAAAAACAACCAATTCTTCAAAATCCAAGAATTTAACCTTTTTAATAATAGTTTCATCAGCGTTTTAGTAGAGACGCTTTATAATACCTTGATGTAGTTACTGGTGTCGAGCGTGAACCGGTGGTAGATCCCAGCAGGAAGGACAATGAGATCACCCGGTTTCATCCAAATTCGGATCCAACGGTCATCCTTGTCTCTAACATCGAAATAGCCACTTCCTGCAAGGCAGTAACGGATCTCTTCGTCCTTGTGAATGTGTTCTGTGAAAAAGTTCTTCAGCTTCTCCTCGTAGTTGCTGACTTTCTCAGGACACAGATCCAGCAAATCCTACAATAAAGATTAATATGCAACAACAAACAAACAACATCAATGGCCATAGAAGGTAAGCATGAGTGAGAGTGATCCTAAAGTGGTAACCAACACACGTACCATGTAATCGTAACCCCTTTCATCTCTAATCTTGGCTAGCTCGGAATCATGCTCGTAGTTATCAGGGTTCAACTTCCAGTACAATACTCCCAGATCTGCGAAAACACATCACAACTATTGTTAGAAACTTTTTTATAGCTGCATGCTCAGCTCTTGTATATATCTGATCATTTCTTTATTTTGTAGTAAAACTCAAATATAATAAATCACGAAAGACAACACACAGAAATTTTCCAAACCAAACATAAATACACATAAATACTATATATAAACATGTTAATAAGCATATGAAGGTCTTTTTCTCTCATTGAAACAGTCCAGTTAGAGATTGAATTATAATATGGAAGTAATCGTTTTGCAAAAAAAAAAAAGGTAAGAGTAAGTTGAAGTGGAGAGAAACCTGCCAAGTAATCCATAGAGAGAAGCTCTTTGGGGTTACGATGATGAGGAAGTCTCTGGTCTTCATTGCTATCATCCATAAACCATGCCTGCATCAACACTCAGATAGCCTCAAAAATCTAGGAAACAAAACTTTTTTTTTTTGCGAGAAACTTCAGATTATACAAATCAACCGATAAAATCATCAAAAGTCTCTGTTCTTCCCAAAAATCAACCATTAATAATTAGTGAAGAAGAAATAGGTTACCTCGAGAGCCATTCCTGATCTTCGTTCGTCTGTGTTAACGAGGCTTTGATGTCAGTGCGGTATATAAGAGATTATTTCCTCCGTCGCTGATTGTCACGTGTACGGCTTATGATGTTTTGCTTTGTTTTATGTCTTGTTTCGTCTAGATTTTTATTTTGTTTATTCTGGTTCCAAAAATTCTGAATTTATTATGGATCTCCGATGTAGCTATTAGCGGTGACCCATTAACGAAATAAAAGTGTTACATTACATGACCCCTCTATTTTTTTCTAAGAAAATTTGTACAATATTCTCGTAGAAAATCAACAACGCAGTTCGGAAACTCCTTTAGAGGATTCAAAAGTTAGAAATGAGCCAACTTGTATTTGGTACACAATTATAGTTCACATATAAATAGTGATAACATATATCCATTTAATTTCCAGAAATAAATAGTCCAAATTAGTTGGGGGCACTAATCGAATATCCTCAAGTTTTAAAATATTTTTTAAATAGTTTTAAAATATTTATTATTAAACTTGAATTTATTATGGATTTATAAATTAAAATCAATTGGTAGTAAGTAAATCAACACTAATCAGTTACATATTACTTAAATTCTTATTGAATTTCTGATGTGGTGTTATATCTTTAATATTTCTTTTTGAAATAATAGTTTTTATCGGTTAAAAATCTGAAATTTTTTAAGATATTTATATTCGGTGGAACGAGTTAAATACAATATTTATACTTAGTTGGAAGGTAACATGATGGGGCTTTTTGCAAATTTGACTCAAAACTCCAAGTCAAACACAAAACTAACCTCTTCTTTTGACTCATCTTGTTTTTGTCCTATTCACCCCACATCTTCATTTTATTTACGAAAATGCCATTTATATGTTTTTTGAATTTTTTTTCGAAAATGGCATTTTTACTCTCTCAACCTCATCATCTTCAAGTATTTACAAC